TTCCTTTAGCATAGAAATTCAGATTAGATAGATATTCAAATTGTTGATAGTGCTAACTTGTGTCTTCTCTCTTTCTAGTCCTGGCTAGAGGCTTATCAATTTTGCTGATCCTTTCAAAAGCCAGCTCCAGTCTATTGATTTTTTCCTATTGATTTCTTACTTTCAATTTAATTGATTTCTTTTTTAAAAATTCAATTTTTTCACACGTGGCATACATTGTTTGGGTCATTTCTTCCCTCGTGCCCCCCGCCCCCACGCTAAAGTGTAGCCAGGCTGGGCTAGAACTCATGATCCTCCTGCCTCATCCTCTTCGCCTCGTTGATTACCAGAGTGCACCACTACCACCAGCGATTGAGTTCTAATTGTAATTTTTATTTCTTTATTGTTGTTCTTGGTGGGGGTACATTGTGGCATTTACAAACTTCTTACAAATATATCCATATCATACTTGAGTTTACCTCCTCCACCATTCTCCTTCACCCCCCCATTTAATTTTTAGTTTTTGTTTTTTTTCTGCTTCCTTTGGATTTGCTTTTATTTTTTATTTTCCTAAAGAAGAAGTTTAGATTATCAATTTTAGATCTTTTCTTCTTTTCTAAAATATACATTCAATGCTATAAAATTTCCTCTGCTATTCCTTTCACTGAATCCCATAAAATTTGATAAGTTGTATTTTTTTAATTAGGTTTTTAAATTTCTCTTGTGATTCTTTGACCCATGTTTTTTTAGAAGTGTGTTGTTTAGTTCCCAAGTATTTGGGGTTCTCCAGCTACCTTTCTATCATTGACTTCTTTTCACATGGCCTTAGATCAGGAATTAACCCAACAAAAACCCAGTGCAAAGTAGCACCCTACTCTCTTTTTTGATAATGTGGGAGTTTGAACTCAGGTCTTGTAACTTTCTAGGCCCTACCACTTGAGCGACACTGCCAATCCTAAGCATCCTACCTTAAAAATCCATAGTCATCATTATTAATTAATTTTTCCTAAATTCCTACCTGATATTGGAAAGAAAAAACCGAAATGTTGGATTTGTGTCAACATTTGTCCAAACACGCAGGCAAAGGAGCACTTTCACGCTGAAACATCAAAGCCTAAACTACTACAACAGGGTTTAATCCTGGGGAAAGGCTGCCAGGCTCAAATTCTAAAAGGGAGATCATTTTTTTCTTTCCCCTTAGTGTAGCTGGCCAAATTAGGTGAAAATTGTAAATTCCAACTACTTTCAAAGAAAATACCTTGTACAACCTCCTCCCGTCTAGGCCAGAAAACTGCAAGAACAAAAAAGACAGATGACATAGGGGATCTTTACGTGAACAGACCAGGATTATTTGGCCCACGAGCCATTCCCGCCTCCTTTTAGCCAACGCTCTGCGCCTGCTTTCTTCCTCTTAGATTTCTCAGCGCCCCCTCTGGCTACCATTGCCTTGCAAGAGTCAAAATTGACTCAGGCGCCTTTCCGGTTCATAGAGCACGCCTTCCTGAGACAAGTCTCATCCAATCAGAGCTCAGGGCAGGAAGTTGAAGGCCCTGCCAGACCTCACGACTTCCAACTTCCCGAGTTTTTAGCTCCGCCTCCATCATGTGATTACGGCCTTCGCTCCCACGTTGACCTGTGGGGGTCTAGCGAAGCCCCGCCCCTCGAAGTCCGCCCTTAGCCTGGCGCTCGCTGGGTTGGTCGCAGTTCGCACGGTCTCCTGGGTGACAGGAACGCGGTAGCTTTCTTGGAGGAGACGGGGTACGCCTGCGCCACTTACTAGATCGCGGGGCTGCAGGACCCTTGAGATGAAGGTAAACAATTTTATATAAATCTCGGTGGGGGAGGCTGAGAGACCCTTTCTCATTCCGCTGAGCGTCCCTTGAAGAGAAGACTTTGTGTCCCCTTCCTTCCTCTGGAGTGCGTGGAGAGTAGGGGAGACAGTGAAGTGTCCAGGGCAGTGGAGGATGGGAGCGAGACTGAAGGACCAGAGGAAAGAAAAGAAAGCCAGCAGAGGGAAAGGCGCAGGGGAAGCTCTGGTTTTCTGGGGCCGCGAACCCTTAAGCGCTGCGGGAGGAGGGAACCCCTCCACTGCCGGAAACGGGCAGACTGGATCCGAAGGCACCGAACTTCCGGCTGAAAGAACGGGGTCTCTGGGAAGGTGACTCGATCTGGTGCCTCATTGCTTGTGGCTAACCCCCTAAGCTACCCCCCAACTGCCCTGCGCCCTAGAAGGAATGAAAAGAATAATCTGGAATTGCATTGGCCTGTGTTGGGCCCGATGTACAGATTCCCTGGCAGCGACCAGCACATTATCATGCGCATACACCTTGTGCACGCAGGTCTTCCAAGCTGTCTTGCCTGAATCCCGCTCCCTGGCCACTGCCACAGCTGCTTCGATTCTCAGCAAAGACATGGAAAGCTCAATTTTAAGATTATTTTGGTGTTGGAATTGGAATTGACAGGCCGGTAATCATCACTCACTTGTGAAGTTTTCCAAGTGAGAAAATCTTATTCTCCATTTACAGTTGAGCATTCTGTGCTTGAGACAGTGTCAGCAACTTGCTTTAAGCCCTATAGTAAGGAAGCGAGCAGAATTTTGCTTTTTCTGGTTGCCCAGCTAGTTCTTTTTCCTCTGCATTGTACCTATAGAGCTGCAAGGGAGAAAAATAATATGTAAAGTCACAACCATAGCCAGGTCTGTCATACAGGTAACAAAACTCAAGTTTAAAGACTGCGCTTGCCTGAAGGGCTTCCAGGACAATGTAGTCACAAATTGCAAGAGTCAAGATGCTCTTAAATACTCTTCTCGTGAATGTCTCCTTACGCTATAAATTTGAATGCCCTTGTGATTATAGCACATGTCTGGTTTCAGTCAAGATTCTAGTGCACTTTAATAGAGGTGGATTTCGTCGTTAGCATATGAAATGCTCATTGGCTGGTGCTTAATTTTGAACATTGGAAGAATTTTGTGTTGCTGCTCAGGCTGAAGTCTCCTGTAATAGTATCTAAACTTAATATGCTTGGATGTGAGCATTCTTGTTTAATCTATAATATTAAAATCTTATTTTTTCCCTCAAGTTCATGTTCTTAGATGTTCTTGATTCTTGCTGTATTATGTATGCCAATGTAATTTCAAGTTTTTAATACCCACATTAAAAACTGTTAAACAGATGAAAACACTTTTGGGGACATGGTACTTAGGTTTGAACTCAGGGCCTCACACTAGCTAGGCAAGACTTGTACCACTTGAAATCTAACCCCCCCCCCTCCAGCTTTGCCTCCCCCCTTTCATTATTTTTCAGATTGGGTCTTGTGTTTTTGCCCAGGACCCAGACTGTAATCCTGCCTACAGTCTCCTGGGTATCTGGGATTACAGAACTCTACCAGCACGTCCATCTTATTGATTGAGATGGCATTTTACTAACTTCTTGCCAACAGTGGCCTCAAGCCAAAGTGCTCTCACTCTCTGCTGCCTTCTGAGTAGTTCAGATTACAGGCAGAAGCCATCATGCCTGGCCAAAATTAACTTTAATAATATATTTTGTCTTACCCAGTGCCTGCAAATTGTTATTTCAACATGTAATCAATATAAAAATTATTAATGACATAATTTTCATTCCTTTTTATGGTCTTTGAAATCTGATGTGCATGCTATATTTACAGCACATCTAAATTTGAATTGCCTATACTTCAGGTCCTCAAAAGCTACATTTGATTTGTGGCTTCTAGATTGTATAAATGTAAAGATTCCCACTGGATATATCATTGCTCTAATACCCAAGCCAAATACTTAATGATGAAATAAATATAACTAGTGGGGCAAAGGAAGAAGGTAATTTTCAAAGAAAGTATAGCAATATGTCTATCTTAAAATCACTTAGGATTTTATTTTATTTTATTTTATTATTCATGCGTGCATACAAGGCTTGGGTCATTTCTCCCCCCTGCCCCCACCCCCTCCCTTACCACCCCCTCAATACCCAGCAGAAACTATTTTGCCCTTATCTCTAATTTTGTTGAAGAGAGAGTATAAGCAATAATAGGAAGGAACAAGGGTTTTTGCTGGTTGAGATAAGGATAGCTATACAGGGAGTTGACTCACATTAATTTCCTGTGCATGTGTGTTACCTTCTAGGTTAATTCTTTTTGATCTAACCTTTTCTCTAGTTCCTGGTCCCCTTCTCCTATTGGCCTCAGTTGCTTTTAAGGTATCTGCTTTAGTTTCTCTGCGTTAAGGGCAAAAATGCTAGCTAATTTTTTTAGGTGTCTTACCTATCCTCACCCCTCCCTTGTGTGTTCTCGCTTTTATCATGTGCTCAAGTCCAATCCCCTTGTTGTGTTTGCCCTTGATCTAATGTCCGCATATGAGGGAGAACATACGATTTTTGGTCTTTTGGGCCAGGCTAACCTCACTCAGAATGATGTTCTCCAATTCCATCCATTTACCAGCGAATGATAACATTTCGTTCTTCTTCATGGCTGCATAAAATTCCGTTGTGTATAGATACCACATTTTCTTAATCCATTCGTCAGTGGTGGGGCATCTTGGCTGTTTCCATAACTTGGCTATTGTGAATAGTGCCGCAGTAAACATGGGTGTGCAGGTGCCTCTGGAGTAACCTGTGTCACAGTCTTTTGGTTATATCCCCAAGAATCACTTAGGATTTTAAAAAATACCAATTTTTTAACATTTAATCCACCAAAATCCATGCCATAAGTAACTAACTTCAGTTTTAAATTATTTTCATCTTTAACATGAATAAAACACTACATTACACATTTTTATAAAGTTAACATTCAAAGGCAAAAAAGGTTTTGTAATAAATGCCTTCTATATTTGACAGTCCATCCTGCATTAAAGCATTTGTGATTTAGTTGGTCAGTTTTGTTTTGTTTTATTGTTAATTCTTTGAATAAGCACTATGTAAAATCAGCCTTCTCCATTCTGAGTTCTACCTGTTTTCATGATTGTGTTTTGACATATTTTCTGACCAACCCTTGATTGTATGTTTTTAAAATAAAAGGATTGTGTTTGTTTTTTAGCGTGTTTTCTCACTGTTAGAAAAGTCTTGGCTTGGTGCACCAATACAGTTTACGTGGCAAAAAACATCAGGAAACTACCTTGCAGTTACAGGGTAAGAAACTGGTATATATATAATAAGTAATCGTTGTATGCTCATGTAACCATACCATCTGTAAGCATAGCATCTATTCAGTGGAGATTCTTGTGTGATATTTCTATGGTGGGAAAAGAAATGTGTTCATCTCCGTTGACATCTCAGCTCATGGAATCCTTCCTCTCTCTCCCCTCTTCTCTCTCTCTCTCTCTCTCTTTCTCTCTCTCTCTCTCTTCCTATCATTCTGTCATTTTTGGTGGTACTAGGGATTAAACTCAGGATCTTGTACTTGCTAGGCTAGTACTGTACCACTTGAGCCATGACCCCAGCCCTTTTTGCTTTAGTTATTTTTCAGAGAAGGTCTCCCACTTTTGCCAGCCTAGATTGGGATTTTCCTATTTATGCTTCCCTCGTAGCTGGAAGGACAGGCACATGCCACCATATCCACCTATATTGGTTGAGAGGGGGTCTTGCTAACATTTTCTGTGGGCTGACCTCAAACTTCAGTCCTCCCTGTCTCCACATCCTGAGTAGCTGGGATTATAGGTGAGAGCCACTGAGCCCAGCCTCATAAGGCTTTTTCCCTGGTGATCACTTTTTAAATACAAATTATGAAACTACCATGAGAAAGCACTGAAATCACTTGGATGGCAGCTTTAAACGAAACATTTAAATCATGTCTTTATATTCTAATTGCTTTCAGAGCTGATCATACTGTGAAAATCTTTGATCGCCATGGTCAAAAAAGAAGTGAAATTAACTTACCTGGGTAAGTACATACAGAGGTAACAAAAACTTTTCAAGCTTTGTTGCCTAAAGGATTTTTTTTTAAGTAGTCTTAAAATAAAATAAAATTTTATAACCCCATCTTCTCTTTTGTTTTCTCCATTACAAAAGCATTTAGTTTCTTTATGCCATAAGTAGTTGGTGAAGTATGTATATATATATATATATATATATATATATATATATATATATATATATAGCATATGAGTTCGAGTTTATATCTATAAACACAGGGAAACTTTATGGCAGGATTATAAATGAGTCTAAAATAAGGATTTTTGGAGTAGGGATACAACCTGTATCTACTTTAGTATTTCTTCTTTAATAAACTGATGCAGAATAGTTACTTTATGCATACTTCTTTTTAAAATGTTTTATTAACATATATTAGTTGTACAGGGGGTTTCATTATATTGCAATATGTCCTTACAATATAGCTTCATTAGATTCACCCCTTTTTAATTCTCCCTCTTCTCCCTTATTTCCTCTCCCCTTCTTAGAGCAATTTCAACAGTTTTTTTGTTTTTTCAGTATTGGGTTTGAATCCAGAGCCTTCTGCTTGCTAGGCAGGCACTCTACCACTTGAGACCCATCCACCAGCCCTTTCTTGTGTTGAGTATTTTCGAGATAGGGTCTCCGGAACTATTTGCCCAGGCTGGCTTCGAACCTCCATCCTCCTGATCTCTGCCTCCTGAATAGCTAGGATTATAGGCGTGAGCCATTGGTACCTGGCCAAATTTACTGAGGGGTTTTGTTTGTTTGTTTGTTTGTTTGTTTTATAGTGCTGGGGTTTGAACTGTGGCCTTGTGCTTACTAGGCAGGTGCTCTACCGCTCAAGCCTTGTCTCCAGCCCTTCAACAAGTTTCTTGTTCAGTTTTCGTACGTGTGTACAAAGTATATCAACCGTTTTATCCATTTTCAGGAAATCATTCTGAATTACAAGAAGTATAATTGAGGCATTTTCAATGATTGAATGTAATTATTACCTGAATTCTTCTGCTGAATAGTAGCATAGTAATAGTCTCAGTAGTTATGAAGGTGTGTAGACTCCCTTATCACCTAAATGGCCTTATGGTACTGTGCGTTTAAAATTCCCATCTGCAGCTGGGTCCCATCTGCAGCTAGGACTCATGCTTATAGTCCTAGCTACTTGGGAGGCTGAGATTGGGAGGATGGAGATTCAAGGCCAGCCCTGGCAAATAGTTCTTCATCTCAACCAATGGCTGGTTGTGGTGGTGTGCGCCTGTCATTCCAGCTACATGGGAAGCACAAATAGGAGGATGGTGGTCCAAGCCAGTCTGGGCATATAAGTGAGATGGGCAGAGTGGCTCAAGTGGTAGACCGCTTGCCTAGCAAGGCCCTGAGTTCAACTCCTGGTACCTTTCCTCCTCCTAAAAAAATTACCTGTTGACTAGGTGTGATTCATTTGTGGAGATGCTTGATGAGTTTGTCTTCCAGAAAGCCAGATTCTTTATAGGATTCAAGAAAACTTGCTAATTTATTAGGTATAACTGTTTAAGGTAGTATATGAAAATTTTAAATTTTTAAAAATTTTCCATCCCCTCAAAAAAACAAAAAAATTAAAGTTAGAATTATATGAGTAGGTGGGTTTCTCATTTAAAGTGTCCAAATGGGTTGAATGGTCTTCTTATGAATAAAAGTCATAAATAGGTAAATATTTAAGTTTCTATTCCCTTCCTTTAAAATATGCGTAGTAATGTTTTGCTGTCTTTTTCAAAAGCAACTGTGTTGCCATGGACTGGGATAAAGATGGAGATATCCTAGCAGTGATTGCTGAGAAGTCCAGTTGTATTTATCTCTGGGATGCCAACACAAATAAAACCAGCCAGCTTGACAGCGGCATGCGGTAAGGTTTCTCTTGCTGCCTGAGCTGGGGCTCAGCACTTTATTCTTTATGTATTCTGTATTATTTTTTACCAACATCACTAACTCTACATATTAGTGGATCAAAATATGACACTTTCACATGTGCGTACAATGAGTACTAATCAAATCAGGGTCATTAGCCTTTCCTATAATCCTTCTACTCTCACCCAATTAATTAGAATAAAGTTGTTAAAACTATGAAATGGAAGTAGCTTCTAAAAACCTTGTGTTCAGCGGAACACACTAGAAAATGACAAAGAGGGAACAAAATTTATATGGGAAACTCTGGAGATGGGATGGATGCAGAGATGGGTGGATCTAGGAGTTGTACTGATACAGTGGAGACTGCTCTTCCCTTCTCTGCATTAACTTCATTCTAAGAGTCTCAGCAGTGCCCCCTCAGCTCCTCAGAGGTCTCAGAATAAAGTAGCCAGGGCCATGGGATGATGGACAGTCCCAAAGGTGACAGTGAAGGGTGGGGTAAAAGGCGGGACAGTTCCCAGTGGAAAGAGTCCTAGGTAGATAGAATAAATTACAGATCTTTGCTAAAATAAAAATAGTTTTTAGCATATGGAGAAGAAACTTATTAGTATTTACGCACTGAAACTTAGCCGTTTTCGCCTTGAACACATTGCTTAATTTCTCTTTAAGCCTCAATTTCTTCAGGTATTTGAAATGAGTCTAGCAGTAATGTCTGCTTCATGGCAGGAAGAGATGCACACATATGAATATTCTTTTTATTTTTTTGTGGGACTGGGATTTGAACTCAGGGCTTTGCACTTGCAAAGCAAGCATTCACGAATCAGGCGCTCTACCACTTGAGCCACACCTCCAGTCCATTTTGCTCTTTATTTTGGAGATGGGAGTCTCATGAACTATTTTCCTGGGCTAGCCTCAAACTGAGCCTCCTGCTCTCAGCTGCACAAGTAGCTAGGATTATAGGTGTAGCCACCAGCACCAGGAACATACTCTTAAGTTCAGACTATAAATATCTAGTTTACAAAGAAATAACAGAACACAGAGGAAGCAATGTGGCCATAAAGACATCTAAAGACCACACATGACCTTTGTACAGAGTCCTTGACCCTCCAAGGTGGCTCTGGAGCTATGGAGTTGCATACGATGCTTTCTGCTCAGTGTACAGTCTCACTAGGTCTCAGGACCTTCATTTCTTCCTCTGTCCTTTCCTCTTTGGATTTGCATAAACACTTTTCAGAAAGATTTTACACAGTGTATTTCCACTCCACGAATATTTATTAACATCAAATACTGGTTCTTAAACCAAATTCAACATCAATGAAGTCCCACCCTTACCTAGAAAAAAAATGCATAGTTAATCCCCATTTCCCAGCTGTCATCCTCTCACAGAGACCATTTCCCCACACCAATCTCAGGGTTGTTGTGATGTTTAAACATATGTCACAAAACATATTCAAGTATAATTATTATAAAACCTGTGATATTGCTTAACTAAAAATACTGTATTAACACAATGGGTTGAGTTCATTTCTTCATTTTTACCATATGTGTTTTTATACATTCTTATTTACTCTGATCCTGGCTGGACTTACGGCAGTAGTTTAGTTAGGTAACTGGGATGCAGCAGTCTTTCCAGAGAAAGCCTTATATATAACATCTGGCTTATCACCCTGTTCAGTTTTGGTTGGGTCACTGGTCAGGCCGCCTGTTCAAAGGCAGTGCAGACCTGGGTACCAGTCATCCTACCCAGTCTTTTTTCAGTTGACCTTCTGTTCTCATATGAGCAAGACTCTCCCAAGCCTGTGCTTTTCACATAGATTACAATTTTTTGTACCCTGTGTATCTCCCTAGAATGATGTGTTCTTTTAAGTTGGCTTGACCGTAGATACATGTGATTATCATACATTGGCATGATCTATAAATGTTGGAGCCTTCTTTATGCCTCAGTATCTCATAACCTGTAGGGCCTTCCAGAGGCCTTATCTCCTAAGAGCTCTTCTTTGAGGATATTTGGTTCCTTGATCTTCTTGGAACTCTCTGTTTAACCCTTTTCTAGTTGGTAGTCACGTGACTGTTCCTGCTTAGAGGTTACTGAATATACTGCTCTTACTGTACGTGACCTCTGATACCGATCAGACCTTATGCCTATTTATGTGATATATTAATTGTACAATAACAGGTCCACTGTGATATTTTATGCATGCATATAACATACTTTGATCATAGTCATTCCTCTCTACCACCTTTTCTTCCCTTCCCCACCCCTCCTGATCCCTTCCTTTTCCCAAATACTCCCCTTCCTTTTATCAGACCTTGTTCTTATTATACACATCTTCTTTCTTCTGGTACTGTTTAGCTCGCCAACAGTTCTTTCTATTCATGTGTTTAGAGAAGCAGACTCCAGGACAGAATGATATGTGAGAGATTTGTTATAGGAAATGTCCGTAAGGGAACAACACAGAGGGGGAAGGAGAAGAGCTCGGGAGAGCTGTCACCTCCCAGTGCATGTCTGATGCTTGTGGAAGAAAGGCAGAAGGAAGAAAAATCTTAGACTATTATAGCATGATTCTAAAAGTTCAGCTGGAGGCCAGGCATGGTGGCTCATACCAGTAGTCCCAGCTACTCGGGAGGCAGAGATGGGGAGGATAGTGTTTCAAGGTTAATCCAGGGAAAAATTAGCGAGACCCGAATCTCAACCAATAAGCCAGATGTGGATGCATAGGTAGGAGGCCTAGTGGTTCAGGCCAGCCCAGGCAATAACATGAAACTCTACCCAAAAAATAACTAAAGCAAAAAGGCCTGGAGGTATGGCTGAAGTGGTAGAGCAATTGTCAAGCAAGCATGAGGCCTTGACTTTAGCCCCCAGTACTGCCAAAAAAAAAATTACCACAATTGAAGTTAAAAAATTAATAGTAGAAAACTTAATATCATGAGTCATCCCATGAAATTTGAGGTTCTGTCATTATTGAGTTGAAGTCTGCATTCATTGTATATTTGTATTTTGACTCTAAATGATGATAAGATCATGTTACAACATCTCCAGAACTTCTTTGTCCTAAGACTGAAGTTGTATTTTTTTACTTCTGCTTCTAAGTAGAGGTTAAAATTATTTATGAAGCACTTTTTTAAACAATTGTGTAGAGGTCATGATTGTGAATTGTGCAGTAATTTATATATTACTATTACAGGGATGAAATGTCTTTCCTTCTTTGGTCAAAAATTGGAAGTTTCCTGGCTGTTGGAACTATTAAAGGAAATTTGCTTATTTATAATCATCAGACATCTCGAAAGATCCCTGTCCTGGGTAGGTTATAGCTGGAAACTGCTAAACATTTGAGATGCTTTACCTCATCATAAATTCTGCTGCCTCTGATTTCCCTGATGTTGCCAGAGAAAGTTTTTTGTATGAAGGCCCTCCCAAGTCCAGTACGTAGCTAAGTAAGAAGATCCCTCTTCTGCTTATTGATATATCACAGGGTCATAGAGTAGATTGAGTGAAGGTCAGCTCTTGCCTCTGGGCATCACCACATTAACAGCCTGGCTTTCCTTTTCCCCTTTCACATCCATATCTTCCAGATGTGGAATAGCTCATATGCATATCAACACATATTGATCATATATGTAATTTTGGTTATTAATTTTAGCTTATTTATGTTATATAGTAATTTTTGTCCATATGTAGATGACCAACACATTTAGTGACTGCTTGGATGTTATATCCGTATTCCTAATTCTGATCCCCACTGTCTCCAAACACCAGTTGAAACTAGGTATTGGGCTATGAGTTCTGTTTGCCTCAGGGTATGTGGCCAGAGGTGTGTTCCTTGTTTGATCTTGTATTAGGCTCTTTGGTTCCCCCAACCTCTGGTCACTTGACACTTGCCCTCTGAATACTCTAGAAGAAACAGTATTGATTCACTTTATGGTAACATGATGTTGAATGGTGGAACTAGTGGACTTAATTACATACAGGTGGCCAGAAAAAGTATAACTTAACTAACAAAGGTATGAAATTCTATAATGACACTTATAGAATGTTAGAGAAAGTGACTTTTATGAGCAGTTAATCATTTCAGATTATTTTCACATGTATGTATCTGGTTAATATTAATTTTAATTTTTAATGCTGCAGCTAAACAGTAATGTCAGTGATCTGTTTAAAAGATTAAAAAGTTTTAAGTTACATATAAGTCATCTATGTGATTTTATAAATATCTTATTTCCCTTCATTAAAGCTTCAGAAATGTTTGACATTGAGTATAAGAAAATATTTGTCAAGCATGATTATTTTTGTATCAGGCATTTGTCATATGTACATGATTTTATATATGATCTTCATGTTTAATATTCTTATTGATTCTGCTTACAATCTTGTATAATAACTGTATAAAATAGTCCTGAAAAGATTAATAACCTGTATTAGGTCCTTTAGTTAAATCTATAGCTGCCTTGCTTATAGTTCGTTATGATTTGTGGCTCTGCTCTTTTCCCTTTTTCTTAAAACCAGTCATCCTCCTTCTGATTGCTGCTCATGGTTGCGTGATCTGTCAACACTTTATAGTAACTAAATATTTGTCACCACTTTAGCGTTGTACTGATATGTTTCTTTGAACTAGACTGGATTCAGGCAGTTCTTGCTTTGCATAGTTCTGATACGCATGAATTCCAGTTAATGCCAGTCTCCCAGTAACATGGTCACATGGTTCCAATCTGACTTGCCATGTATAACGAGTAGGCACTCATAGCATGTGCTAACTCTTGTTACTGATGTTTTTGTTTGTTTCTTTGTTTGTTTGTTTTTTCTTTTTTTTTTTCCTTTTTTTATTCATATATGCATACAAAGCTTGGGTCATTTCTCCCCCCTGGCCCCACCCCCTCCCTTACCACCCACTCCTCCCCCTCCCTCTCCCCCCCACCCCCTCAATACCCAGCAGAAACTATTTTGCCCTTATCTCTACTTTTGTTGTAGAGAGAGTATAAGCAATAATAGGAAGGAAAAAGGATAGCTATACAGGGAGTTGACTCACATTGATTTCCTGTGCATGGTGTGTTACCTTCTAGGTTAATTCTTTTTGATCTAACCTTTTCTCTAGTCCTGGTTCCCCTTTCCTATTGGCCTCAGTTGCTTTAAGGTATCTGCTTTAGTTTCTCTGCGTTAAGGGCAACAAATGCTAGCTTATTTTTAGGTGTCTTACCTATCCTCACCCCTCCCTTGTGTGCTCTCTTTTATCATGTGCTCAAGTCCAATCCCTTGTTGTGTTTGCCCTTGATCTAATGTCCACATATGAGGGAGAACATACGATTTTTGGTTTGGGCCAGGCTAACCTCACTCAGAATGATGTTCTCCAATTCCATCCATTTACCAGCGAATGATACATTTCTTCTTCTTCATGGCTGCAAATTCCATTGTGTATAGATACCACATTTTCTAATCCATTCGTCAGTGCTGGGCATCTTGGCTGTTTCCATAACTTGGCTATTGTGAATAGTGCCGCAATAAACATGGGTGTGCAGGTGCCTCTGGAGTAACCTGTGTCACAGTCTTTTGGGTATATCCCCAAGAGTGGTATTGCTGGATCAAATGGTAGATCAATGTTTAGCTTTTTAAGTAGCCTCCAAATTTTTTTCCAGAGTCGTTGTACTAGTTTGCATTCCTACCAACAGTGTAAGAGGGTTCCTTCTTCCCTGCATCCTCGATAACACCTGTTGTTGGTGGTGTTGCTGATCATGGCCATTTTAACAGGGGTGAGGTGGAATCTTAGTGTGGTTTTAATTTGCATTTCCTTTATTGCTAGAGATGGTGAGCATTTTTCATGTGTTTTTTGGCCTTTTGAAATTCTTCTTTTGAGAAAGTTCTATTTAGTTCACTTGCCCATTTCTTTATTGGTTCATTAGTTTTGGGAGAATTTAGTTTTTTAAGTTCCCTGTATATTCTGGTTATCGGTCCTTTGTCTGATGTAGCTGACCAATATTTTCTCCCACTCTGTGGGTGTTCTCTTCAGTTTAGAGACCATTTCTTTTGATGAACAGAAGCTTTTTAGTTTTATGAGGTCCCATTTATCTATGCTATCTCTTAGTTGCTGTGCTGCTGGGCTTTCGTTGAGAAAGTTCTTACCTACACCTACTAACTCCAGACAATTTCCTACTCTTTCCTGTATCAACTTTAGAGTTTGTGGTCTGATATTAAGATCCTTGATCCATTTTGAGTTAATCTTGGTATAGGGTGATATACATGGATCTAGTTTCAGTTTTTTGCAGACTGCTAACCAGTTTTCCCAGCAGTTTTTGTTGAAGAGGCTGCTATTTCTCCATCGTAATTTTTAGCCTTTGTCAAAGACAAGTTGGTTATAGTTGTGTGGCTTCATATCTGGGTCCTCTATTCTGTTCCACTGGTCTTCATGTCTGTTTTGTGCCAGTACCATGCTGTTTTATTGTTATTGCTTTGTAATATAGTTTGAAGTCAGGTATTGTGATACCTCCAGCATTGTTCTTTTGACTGAGTATTGCCTTGGCTATTCGTGGCCTCTTGTGTTTCCATATAAATTTCACGGTAGATTTTCAATCTCTTTAATGAATGTCATTGGAATTTTGATGGAATTGCATTAAACATGTAGATTACTTTGGGGAGTATATCGACATTTTTACTATGTTGATTCTACCAATCCATGAGCATGGGAGATCTCTCCACTTTCTATAGTCTTCCTCAATCTCTTTCTTCAGAAGTGTATAGTTTTCCTTGTAGAGGTCTTTCACATCTTTTGTTAGGTTTACACCTAGGTATTTGTTTTTGAGGCTATTGTAAATGGAATTGTTTTCATACATTCTTTTTCATTTGCTCATTGTTAGTGTATAGAAATGCTAATGATTTTTCTTGATTTTATTATCCTGCTACCTTGCTATAGCTATTGATGATGTCTAGAAGCTTCTGAGTAGAGTTTTTGGGTCTTTAAGGTATAGGATCATGTCATCTGCAAATAGGGATATTTTTGACAGTTTCTTTACCTATTTGTATTCCTTTTATTCCTTCTTCTTGCCTAATTGCTCTGGCTAGGAATTCCAGTACTATGTTGAATAGGAGTGGAGATAGTGGGCATCCTTGTCTGGTTCCTGATTTTAGAGGGAATGGTTTCAGTTTTTCTCCGTTAAGTATAATGCTGGCTGTAGGTTTGTCATATATAGCTTTTATAATGTTGAGGTACTTTCCTTCTATTCCTAGTTTTCTTAGAGCTTTTATCTGAAATGATGTTGGCTTATCAAAGGCTTTTTCTGCATCTATTGAGATGATCAAGTGGTTTTTGTCTTTGCTTCTGTTAATGTGGTTTATTACGTTTATTGATTTTCGTATGTTGAACCACCCCTGCATCCCTGGGATGAAGCCTACTTGGTTGGTGAATAATCTTTTTGATGTTGTTGAATTCGGTTTGCCATTATTTGTTTGAGGATTTTGCGTCAATGTTCATTAAGGAGATTGGCCTATAGTTCTCCTTTTGGAGGTGTCTTTGCCTGGTTTGGGATAAGTGTAATACTGGCTTCAAAAATGTGTTGGCAGTTTTCCTTCCCTTTCTATTTCGTGGAACAGTTTAAGGAGGGTTGGTATCAGTTCTTCTTTAAAGGTCTGATAGAATTCAGCAGAGAATCCATCAGGTCCTGGACTTTTCTTTTTGGGGAGACTCTTGATTGCTGCTCAATTTTTCATTTTGTGTTATAGTCTATTCAGGTGATTAATTTCCTCTTGGTTCAGTTTTGGATGATCATATGTATCTAGAAATCTGTCCATTTCTTTAAGATTTTCAAATTTATTTGAATATAGGTTCTCAAAGTAGTCTCTGATGATTTCCTGGACTTCCATGGGTTTGTTGTTATCTCCCCTTTTGCATTCCTGATTCTACTAATTTGGGTTTTTCTCTCCTCATTTTAGTCAGGTTTGCCAGGGGTCTATCGATCTTGTTTATTTTTTCAAAGAACCAACTTTTTGTTTCATTAATTCTTTGTATGGTTTTTTTGGTTTCTATTTGTTGATTTCAGCTCTTATTTTTTATTCTCTCCTTCTATTTGTTTGGGATTTGCTTGTTCTTGTTTTTCTAGGAGTTTGAGATGTATCATTAGGTCATTGATTTGGGATCTTTCATCTTTTTAATATATGCACTCATGGCTATAAACTTTCCTCTCAGACTGCCTTAGCTGTGTCCCATAGGTTCGGTAGGTTGTGTTTTCATTTTCATTGACTTCCAGGAACTTTTTAATTTCCTCTTTTTTTCATCGATGATCCATTGTTCATTAAGTAATGAGTTATTTAGTTTCCAGCTGTTTGCATGTTTTTTTGTCTTTACTTTTGTTGTT